CTCCGAACAGGATTTGAAACAAGTCGAGGAAAACCAACGCGAACCATCTTATTTTCTACTGAAAGAGTGAGTGTTTATGAATCCATTAAGTATTTACCTAGATAACAACTGAAAGTCCATATGGTTCCTACTCTTACCTATTTGGTATTCCAGGTGACTCCAAATAGCTGGGAAAGTGGACTTTTCATTCTATTCTTGGTTTTCTTTGCTATTATTGCTGATGGCTATGTGCTTAAGAAGGTAAACAGAGTCCTAGCTTACTTGGGCAAACTTCATATTGTGGGAGGGGGAAAGAGATTCAGGTTTTATCAGTTATGGCTGCTGCATTAATGATTGCTTTTGCATTGTGATTCTGCAATGGGTTCAGAAGGTTCTCCTTTTGTGCAGGGATTGTAGAATCCTACTAGGAGCAAATAGAAACTTCTTTCTGAGTTGTTCTATAATTATAACTTCTGTGATTCCCCCAGAACTGCCAATGGAGTTATCAATAGCTGTTAATACCTCTTTAATTGCATTAGCACGCGGTGGTATTTTCTGCACAGAACCATTCAGAATACTCTTTGCTGGGAAGGTCAGTGAAGGATTTTTGGAATACCTGTGAAATCATTATGTCGTGTCCTGTGAGTTATAAATGTCAAAAGTTCACTACTATGTTTTTTTTATCATTTCTTACGCAGGTTGACGTATGTTGCTTTGACAAAACAGGGACTCTTACATCAGATGACATGGTATAACAGTAGTGGTAAACACTAATCTTTCATTTGCATTGTTCCATTATGCAATTTTCTTCCTTCAGAAAGAATGTATTCCCATATGGCATGCCTAATAAACGATTGGAGTTCTCTATACAAAATCTATACCTTTTTCGTAAGATTCTTTGCTGGTTCATTTGAATTTTGGAGACTTGCTATTGGACTTATTGCACGTCAGAAGGTGGGTGCACATACAGCCCACTGGCTGTATGGTTCCAGTGGCATGTCTTTTTGCAGCCTGTCTTTGTTGGCTGGTTGGAAATGTTGCACCATCTCATAGAGAGTTGTCAACAAGTTGATTTCAAGTCATCTTAATGGGAGTTGCTTAACTTTGGCCCTCTCCATAGCTGATCCAATTTGATGTGAGGAAGCTTTCATGATGACAATGATATTGAGTATATATGTTTCAGGAGTTTCAAGGAGTAGTCGTATTGGCTTATGATGCAAATTTAGAATCAGATGCTATTAAACTGCCTCTACGCACTGTGGAAGTTCTCGCAGCGTGTCATGCTTTAGTTTTTGTTGAGAACAAATTGGTATGTATATTTTACAGGTCATGCTCTATCATTACAACTGGTGATGAAATGGTAAAAATCTCATTTATTTGTCATTTTTACTTGTATTCAGGGTGGGGATCCTCTCGAAAAGGCAGCACTTAAAAGGCATAGATTGGATATACACCTCTGACGAGAAGGCCATGCCTAAAAAGTAAGTTACTTTATATGCAATAGAAGTTGATATCACATAGTTTAGGATTCCAAGAATTTGGAAACTTGGAGTTGGAAGTTGTTGCATACGTGTTTACGGGGTGCTTATTAGTCCTGCAGAAATAAAATATTACAGAGGCCTATCATGCTGCAAAATTAAGTTTTTTATGAACTTCTCATAGATAACATTAAATATTACCTGACTCCTACCTCCCCAGTCTGAAACAATAATCTATCTACGAATCTAAATAGTGACTAATAAACTAAATTAAGAAACAAACAAATTGTCCAATGAGCCTTATCTTCTTGAAACAAACGAGTCTTGCCAGATGAACCTTATCTTCTTACTTTCTAAATAACTAATCCTAACTAGTGAAACCTGGCAATGATAAAAAAGAACCTCTAAAATCTAAAATGAAAATAGAGAAATTTTTAATCTCTACTATTTTTGCTTGTAGAAATGGCGAACACAACGACGAAGACCGCAGGAAAAGACGAAGAACAGGTTTTGGGTGACTAGCGGTCGACCGCGGGTGGCGCGGCGGTCGATCGCAAACATGTACACAAGTTGGGAAACTCTCTGGATTTTTGGTGGTTGATCGCGACCGAACCCTGGAGTTGGGTTGACCTCTGGAGTTTTTGCGGTCGACCGCGACATGGGTTCGGCGGTCGACCGCGTAGCGGGTTTGGGCTTGTTTCGTTTCCTGTTCTGATTGGGTTTGTTGTTTGATATAAATAGTGATCACGTTTTTTAGGGTATTCTATTGATTGATTGGGTAGCTTGAAGGTGATTTTGAGCACAGAAAATAGAAATCTTTCTGAGCAATTGTTTGAGGGTTTAACTTTGAGAGATTTGAGAGATTTGTTTGAAAGGTTAGTTGAGTGATTTTGTAATCTCTACTTTGTACTCTCTTTTTCTATAGTGGAAACACATCCCTTCTTGCCCGTGGATGTAGGCAATTTGCCGAACCACGTTAAACTTTTGTGTTTGAGTTGGTACCGTTATATTTGGATTGTTTTGTCTTTTTCTCTTGGCGTTTGTGTTTGGTTCCCTAAAGCCCAACACTGCTTGCATCAATCTAAGATGGTGTAAGAAGTTATTGTTCTTATGAAGAAGCTACTTGGACATTCTTCAATTGCTTGCCTAGTGCAATTGTGCATTAGTGCAATTGTGCATTAGGCTCATGGTGGAATGATCAACGTGTGGAAACTTATAAGAAACTTTAGTTTATAATTGCATGAGGCTTATGGTGGAACATTTCTTATGAAAAAACTACTTGGACATTCTTCAACTGGTTGCCTGGTGCAATCACAAAAAGGTTTATGGTGGAACATTGTTATTGATCAAACGTGTGGAAACTTATAAGAAACTTAGTTTACAAGCTAATCTTGATTGTTGGTAACTTTTTCTTAATGGAAGGAAAAACACCAAGGGCGCGTTTGGTTTCGGTATTTTATCGGTGAAAACTTGCCATAGGGTCAAATCTGTGGCAGCTTTCACCCCAAATCGCCCCAAAAAGAGGCGATTTGGGGTGAAAGCTGTCACATATTTGACCCTGTGGCAGGCTTTCACCCACTTTCACCCTTAAAATATAAGAACCAAACGCGCCCCAAGTAAGCCATGAGTCAAGGGGGGACTTAATAAAATTATTGTAGACTCTTAGTTTGCAGACAGTTAATTACCGGAACCTATGATGCACGGATACGAATACGGGATACGGATGCGACACGGACACGGATATGAGATATGATAAAATCTAAAAAATAGGATACGGAGATACGACAAAGGAATTTTTTAAATTATTATTATATATAAATTTTTTTTATAAAATTCAACTAACAATCTAAAATATGGCTAGAAATATGGCTAGATTTTCTCTCTCATTATATGTAAAGAAGGGATTTGCGAGGAAAAAAAAACAGAGTCCACAATGGATGGGAACCAAAGTAACATCCAGCCTAAAGTCCAAGTAGGCCCAAATTCGTATTAGCCCAAAAACTAATTACATAACAAAAAGGACAATCCTCATGAACAACTCTCCACCAATCAGAACAAAGGAGGCATCTGTGTTTCTCCGAGTCTTTTCACAACCGTCAGATCTCCAGACACCCTTCTCTCCGCTCCGCCTATATACCATCGCCCGACCCACCCAGGTCCCCCAGCCCCCCAGATTACCCTCGTCCGAAAGGCTGTCATTGCTCTTGATTCCATCTCAAGAAAGCCTACAAAACCCTAGCTGTTGAGATCCTGATAGTCCGCACGAAGAGCAAGACTTGCCAGCAGTCCACCGGCGGAAGGCATCCGAGGAAGCGGCTTCGGCCACCAAGGTATCCCCATCTACCCCCTCTCACAAAACTCAAAAAGTCTTTTGTTCCCCCTCAAGAATGGGTTAAAAAAACTTGAACTTTTTCACGACCCCAGGCCGCAAGGAAATCGGCACCGACAACAGGCGGGGTGAAGAAACCACACAGTTACAGGCCAACTTTCACTTAACCCAATCACCCTAAAAACGAATCTGCGCCGATCTACTCTGGAATTGATTTGAAGAGTTGTATTTTTTTGAATTAGATATTACCTTAAATATAAAAAGAAGGAACACAAGTACTTAATTTAGACCTGGGTCGTTCAGGTGCTGCTGCTGTCTTTACAAAAGATTTCTGCATTTAGGAAATTTCAATTCAGTCACCAGTGTCCAAATGAGTTAGTATGCTTGGATTTTACACGACCCAGTCCCCAGCTTTTGCTTTACTTGGCATTCTCTGAGATTTGTCAATTATGATTCTGGTTGCTCATGTTGTGTGTATTCTTTGGCTCTCCATCCCATTTTTCCATCGCAAACTTCCCCTAGTATAGATGATGTGAAAACTACTACTCGATACATAGTGTCCAACTATCCGTGGTATGGCAGCTTTTCCAAGGGCATCCATAAACTTTCCAGCTTATTTGGCGAGATTAGTTTTCTCGTCAAAGTAATACTTGCTCGACTTTGTTTCCATGCTTTACTGCTTCTGTTAGTGTCTCCATAGTTGAAGGTGGATTGGAGAAAAGGAATAGTAGAAAGACAAACTTGTAGATGGTTGAAATAAAATAGAGAAATCCCATCTCACTAAGTAAACATAAGTTAGAGAAAAATGCAAACAATTAAAAAAGTTAAGAGCCTACACACCTAGCATGCACTAAAAAATTTCTCCTTTCCATTTCATACTTGGTGTATCTTAGTATTCTACTTGGGGAGAAGAATAGATTTTCTGTTGATGTTATTATATATCTATTTCTTGTTTTTATAACATTTATGAAGTATATATTTCTTTGTCTATGCAGATATATCTTGCAGAATTTGCAAATATAGCGGCGGTGTATCTTAGTATTCTCTCTTGGGGAGAAGAATAGATTTTCTTTTGATGTTTTTATATATCTATTTCTTGCTTTTATAACATTTATAAAGTATATATTTCTTTGTCTATGCAGATGTAGCATGCAGAATTTGCAAATATAGTGGCAGCATGCACATCAATTTTAAGTGTTTTTTGGTGTGTTCTTTGAACATTAGTTGTTCATTCTTCAATGTTCTATAACTGTTTGTTGACCTGTTCTTATTTTATTGCTATATTTTTTGCCTATAGGTTTGGCGGTCTTGCTGTGCAGATTGTACAAAGACACCACTTTGCCTCACACCTGAAGAGAATGGCTGTTGTCGTTCGTGTTGAAGAAGAATTATTGGCTTTTGTAAAGGTGAATAGTCATATTGATTTTTTTTTTCAAATTTACCGCACTTTCTTTCTTTTCTTCTTTCTTTGCATCCTAAATCTTGTGCTACAGTTAACCTTTAGTAAAGTTCTTCAAAAACACTGCTGAAAACCTGAGCCATTACAAGATACTTTATAGCATGTCTTCCTGATAAGCTCAATAGTGGTCTTCGTGATGCTGATCAAATTCACTATAATATGCTATCTGTGATTTCTGAATTCTTTAGTCATTGCTTATTGCTGCAATTTCTTTATTTATGCAGGGTGCACCGGAAACTATTTAAGAGAGGCTAGTTGATTTACCATCAACGTATGTGGAAACATACAAGAAATACACACGACAAGGTTCTCGGGTTTTGGCTCTTGCATACAAGAAACTTCCGAAAATGTTTTGTAAGTTGTCTCTGATGTTAACATATTCCTCGTCATTCGCTTGTACCTACTAAATAGCTTTCATGAAGACTTATTTTTTTAATCAGTAATTTTATACCATTGATTCGCGTTCTAGTGGCTCTTTTTCATAAATGAAGGGGTTGCCTTTTCAAGTCAAATTTAGATAATAATTCTCATAATCATGTCTTGCATGCTACACGTCCTATGATATCTTTTCCCGTGTTCACTTCTCCATAATGAGAAAATGTTAGGTTGTCTAACTAGTTGTCATATCTTCTGCAATTAACAAGTGATATTTTTATTTATGAAAGTGGGAAAAGGCGGCAAAGGAAAATGTACATCGTACAAAGACATACATGCACTAAATTGAATTTGGATGAGAGCTTTCCCCTCTCTAAGCATAAGAATATTAGCTTACCTCTTGTTAAAAATCTTTTGTAATAGATATTAGTCCCTTGATTGTTTCAAAATATGAAATTACTCTCTCAAATCATTGAAATTTCTTTTTATCTTAAATTCTTAATTTTTTTAAAGAAATTGATCCTTCGTATTACTAAAATTTATATTCTAAATTATTTTAAGTTTAGTCCATTCAATCATGGGTAGAATCAAGGGTAGAAGCAGCAACTATGTGGACTATTTTGAAAAGTAATTATGAGAACTAGAGGACCTAATAGCAATTTCAATGAGTTGGGGAATTCATTTGAAAATAACTTTTGAAATTGGGGACGTAATAGCAGTTTCAATTATTTGAGGGACTAATTCAAAGTATGAAACATTTGAGGGACTAGCATAATAAATTCATTAAAAAAATGTATTCCACCTATAAACCCAAAGTTTCATCCACGTTTGTATACTTATAAATCCTTATTTAGTAGCTATATTTTTTTATAACTTGCAATATTTCTTATCAAGCTCAAGAAGAGACTTTTTCGAAGTAACCGGGCAGATAAAAGAAGGCAAGCAAATGGGCATGTGGAAGGAAAACCTAGCAAGTAGTGAAGTAGATTTATGTAGAGAGTTGACTGAACATGCATATGAAGACTTGGATAGAGATGAAGAGCAGCATCAACCACTTGAAGATATATTACATGAGAATGTGGAGATTAATTTTGTACCCATCCTAGAAGTGGAATCTGGATATGAGGGTAGTGATACATTAAGAAGCTTATATAGTGGATAGTGATGAAGAATATGAATGTGAAGATAAATACCCGAATGCGTCTTAGTTTAACATCAATGAGAAACATATGCCACTAATACCACCAACACTACGCACGCATACACCATCAACACCACCATCACATAAAAACATTATAAGTATATCGCACGCATACACCATCAACACCACCATCACATAAAAACATTATAAGTATATATTTTGGGCTTTGTGTTAGGGTTAGAGTTAGGGTTTGTGTGTAACAGTTTGTATCAGTGTGTATCAGTGTATATGATATCATTTAGTCATGAAGAAAATTCATAACTAAGTAAGAATATATATTTAATTCATTTAATTAAAAAAAAGCAAAGTATATATATTACCTGATCCGACATAAACCGTCTCTTATATGCCTTCTGAGCCTTCTGAGGCAGAGTCGACATGAATTGTGTGAACTCTAATTCTCTCTGCTCCCGGCATCTCCGTTCTTCCTCTTCAATCCACTGATATGTTGTTTGCTGCGACTGCCAATCTTCAATCGCTTTTAATCGCTGCTCCATCGAGTCTTGATATGAACTGCTTCCTGGTGTTCATGGTGGTGCTGCAGACTCGTAGGTGCTACTAGACTCGTGCGGTCTCTGCTCGGATCCTCTCCTCCGGTATCTGTTCTTCCTACTGGGTCCATTGACCGTCTCGATAATGGAGTCCTCTCTACTTAGCCGGGTAGGAGTGTTAGAACAGACCTGAGACTGAGTTATTTGCTCTTGCACCTTGGCATGTAATTTCTCTTGTGATATATCAGAACCCGGGCAAGTCGACTTACTAATGATGCATTAATATGAAATTGAATATATAAATAAACTACTACTTACAGCCAGATCCTTATTCTTTGCTTTCTTCTCTTCATCGGTGTAATTCGGGCTCCAGGAAGTCAGAATACGATCTGCAAAATATCCGAGATCTCCTTTTCCTTATTTTATTCAAATATATCATTAACCCATAACACATAAATTATACTCAACTTAAAAGCTAATATATTATATACCTCAAGCTCCAATTGATGATAATGCTGGCTGAAAGACCTGGAGCCCCTGTGATACTTGTAACTGCGGAGCGCGTTGCAGTTCATCCTTGCTATTTCAGCTTGAGCCTGTAAAACAATGTCAAATCAAAACAATATAGAAATTCAAACAATAAATTAAAAATATATACTTTAATAATACCCGAATTTCAGCCGTGTCCCAGTATTCGCAAAGTGCAAAAAATTTTACTCCATCCACACACGTCAAGATGCCAGAATCGCTCCCAATCTTCTGTTATTTGAGCAAAATATTTTTTTTTACCTCAAACCGTCATCTCTTGAACGATAAATTGATTTGCGTGAAGCAGTAAGTCAGTAAGTCTAGGCACAAATATTATCGTCAAGAAAGAAAAATCGCTTCAGCATATAAAGAAAAAATAGATACAAATCAGTGTATTAAACATAATAATAAACTAATAACTAATAATGATGAAAATTAAAATAAACCACTCACACATATATATCTCCAACAAGCCACCAGCGCATCAATCCGCTGCGAATTCCACGTCAAAAAAATATTGAAGAAATCACGTCTCCTGGCTAATGCGACGAGAAAATTATTGAAAGCGTTGGCAAAGGCCTCGACTGGCACTCTGTTTTCCCATCGGATCACGACCCTCCGATGAATATTAGGGATGAGGTTCTGTTCCCTGGTAGCATTGCGACCGCGTCTAGGAGGTCGCCCGGTACCTGCGAAACAATGAATTGGATGAAACAATGAATCAATCCATATTTGCTATTAAAATTTAAAATAATAACCGATAAACTATAAAAATCTATTCATACCTTTTAGTTCGAGGCATCTACGCCTTGCTTGTTTGTACCTATGCTGCGCAATAAGGCTCAAATCTCCTCTCCTCCAATACATCTGCATGCGGTAGCGGTGGTATCTCCGCATGCTGTGTAGGATCAGCCTGTGTCTCCACGTCATGTGGAGCATCTCCGCGTGATGTGTCCTGTGGCTGCGAGTCATGTGTAGTATCTCCTCGTCCTGTGTAGTAAATGTTAAAAAAATGTTAGGCTTACGTTAATAGTTTATAGACGTAACAATATAACAAATAAATAAAAATACCTGACGTAGAGGCATGTGTGTCGCCTCCAGAATGTCTACAAAAAAGTCTCTCAAGCGCTTTCTTACGTAATCCTTTTGTCATCTATACTTTGAAAACATAATGAATATCCAACAAAAGCATATAATGTAAATAATTAATAAAATAGCACATGACAGCAAAATCGCGTGTACATGATGTCTAGTCAAACAGATAATATAAAGGTAATAATATAATACATGACACACCGTGATACATGATAACCAGTCAAACAGATAATAGAAAAGGAATAATATAATACAATGAATGTTCTTTTTAATTCATAACCTAGTATTACATTATTATGATGATGTTGAGGCTCTACTCTACGATCGTGTGCGGATAGCCTGCGACCGTGTGCGTGCCGACGAAAGGACTGTTCTTATAGTTTTATCGACTCCGCTGCGGACAGGTTTTTTACCTTTACGCCTTATCTCACATATAATCGCATGTACATCAGGGCGCGCTAGTACAATTTCATCGTCCAGATTATTATTTTGTGTTAATGAAAACTCCTCGGCTATTTCGTCGGCCAAGATAACCTCCTCATCGTGATCTTCGTCAGACACGGTTCATGAATGTAGGCTCTAGGCAGATCCTTAAGGATAACCCATCTTCGTCAGACACGGCCAAGATAACCCTAACCCTCACCCCCACCCTCAACCTCACCTAACCCTAACCCTCATCCTCACCCTCACCCCCCACCCTCAACCTCACCTAACCCTAACCCTCATCCTCACCCTCACCCCCCACCCTCACCCTCACTTAACCTTAACCCTAACCCTAACCCTAACCCTCACCTAACCTTAATCCTAACCCTAACCCTCACCCTCCCCTCCCCTAACCCTAATCATAACCTTAACCCTCAAACTCACCCTCACCTAACCCTAACCCTAACCCTAACCATCAACCTCGCCCTCACCCCTCACCCTTACCTTCACCCTCCCCTAACCCTAACCATAACCCTAACCCTCAAACTCACCCTCACCCTAACCCTCACCTAACCCTAACCTTCACTTAACCCTAATCCTAACCCTAACCCTCAACCTCACCTTCACCCCCCCTCTCACCTAACCCTAATCCTAATCCTAACCCAAACCCTAACCCTAATCTTAATCCTAATCCTAACTTAACTCTAACCCTCACCCAACCCTAACCCTAACCCTCGCCTAACCCTAACCCTAACCCTAACCCTAACCCGTTTTAAATTTAATTTTTTATATTATAATTTCATCAAGATGAACATTTTTATTAGGGTTTGGATTTTTTTCATAATTTTTTTGTTTTGTCAAAATTAAACTCTAATTGTTAAAATTAAACCCTAATTGTAAAATTAAGAATTTTATCTTTTTTCCCCCCCCTCAATCTCTCCTCTCTCCCTCTCTCACACCTCAGTCGGTGATTCGTCGTGGCCCGAGGACACTGTCGGTGCGTCGGCGTCGGGCCGACGAGAGAGAGGGAGAGAGGAGAGATTGAGGGAGGGAGAGATAAAGATAGATTGAGGGGAGAGAGAAAGAGAGATTGAGGGGGAGGGAGAGGGATACCTTGAGAGAGAGGGCGGCGACGGCGGAGACTACTCCGAACGGCGGCGTCGTCGCCTCGTCGGAACGGCGTGGGTATTTGCGGGGGGGGGGGGGGGGGCTTGAGAACGATATCGAAATTGGGGAGGGGG